TTTTGTATTTTTGGTAGAGATGGGGTTTCACCATGTTGCCCAGGCTGGTCTCGAACTCCTGACCTCAAGTGATTCGCTTGCCTCAGCCTCCCAAAGTGCTGGATTATAGGCATGAACCAGTGTGCCTAGCCATAAAAAAGTTTAGACTGAAAACTTATAGAATAAGGACATAAAGAAAGAATCTTTGCAAAACTGTACAATCAATGTGTTTTTAAGCTAAGTGTTATTACAAAAGAGTCCAAAGGTTTGACAAATTTAAAAGTTCATGCCTGTAGTCTTAGCACTTTGGGAGGCTGAGATGAGAGGATTACTTGAGGCAAGCCCAGCCTGGGCAACATAGGGAGATCTAGTTTCTACGAAAACAAAAACAAAAACAAAATTAGCCAGGCTTGGTGGCACACTCTTGTAGTCTCAGCTACTTGAGAGGGATTGCTTGAGCCCCAGAGTCCAAGGTTGCAGTGAGCTATGATCACACCACGGCACTCTGGCCTGGGTGAAAGAACAAAACCCGATCTCTAAAATAATAATTTAAAAATCTATAAAGTAAAAAAGTCAAAGTAAGCTAAGGTTAATTTATTGTTAAAAATTATAAAATTTAGTGTAGCCTAAGTGTACAGTGTTCATAAAGTCTACAGTAGTACACAGTAAGGCCTTCACATTCCACTCACCAGTCACTTACTGATTCACTCAGGCAACTTCCAGTCCTGCAAGCTCCATTCATGGCAAGTGCCCTATACAGGTGTACCATTTTTTAATCTTTTATACTATATTTTTACTGTTCCTTTTCTATGTTTAGATACACAAATACTTACCATTCTGTTACAACTGCCAGTATTCAGTACAGTTACATGCTGTATAGGTTTGTAGCCTAGGAGCAACTGGCCATACCACATTGTCTAAGTGTATATAGTATGTGATACCATCTAGGTTTGTGTAAATACTGTACAGTGTTTGTACAACAATAACATTGTCTAATAATGCAGTTTTCAGAACATATCCCAGTCATTAAGCAATGCATCATTGTAATTCGGTCCTTACTTGACCTTACATTGAATGATTTATATGTATAGTTTTTCTCTGTAGATTATAAATTCCTTTAGGGCAGGAACAAAGCTGAATTCATTTTCATATTTTTCACAGTTCATAGCATAGCATGTGCTCAGTAAATATTTAAGGGAATAAATAAGTTTGAAAGAATACACTAGTATCTACATGGATCATATGAACATTTGAAATTTAAAAAAAGACCTTGAAAGTATTCATATTTAACCTTTACAGGACTCCAGTGACATCAGATTAACTGGCATTATAACAGTAGGAACTCGAAAATTTGCTCAACTTTCTATTGTAGAATACCATTGAGAATTAAAGTCACTAGTTTTCTAGTTTGATTTTAAAAATAAACACTTTGTTAAGTTGAAATGTTATAGAAACTGTTATTGACTCTAAATGTTTTTCTTATAAATAGAACTGTCAACTGTTAAGCAACAGTTCATTCAACATCTTTATAACTTGGTTAACTTGCAGAAATATGAAACAAGAGTGGGAGAGAAGGGGACTCAGCTCTCAGGAGGTCAAAAACAGAGGATTGCTATTGCCCGAGCCCTCATCAGACAACCTCAAATCCTCCTGTTGGATGAAGCTACATCGGCTCTGGATACTGAAAGTGAAAAGGTGTGTGTGGCCTCCCAACTTATGTCCTATTCAATTTATGAAATAGAAGGGATTTTGTTGTCAGCCATGAAAAAAAAAAAAAAAACACAAGCACAGGGGGGAAAGCATGGAACTTTAGATAGTGAGTTTTTTTTAATTTTTATTTTTTTGAGACAGGGTCTCGCTCTGTTGCCTAGGCTGTAGTGCAGTGGCGCAACCTGCCTCTCGGGTTCAAGCAATTCTCTTGCCTCAGCCTCCCAAGTAGCTGGGACTACAGGTGCCCACTACTATGCCCGGCTAATTTTTGTATTTTTAGTAGAGGCAGGGTTTCATTATGTTGGCCAGGCTGGTCTCGAATCCTGACCTTGTGATCTGCCTGCCTCGGCCTCCCGAAGTGCTGGGATTACAGGCGTGAGCCACCTTGCCTGGCCGATAGTGGTTATTTTGAAGTAATGGAATACTTTATTCCAAATTTTCTAAAATGATTATATATTTTATAAACAAAACATTCAAAAGAAAAAAGCTGCATAAATTACATTTTTAGCACATTAGGAATGAAAAACTGGAAAATACTCAAAAGGGAACTAGTTAAAAAGAAGATTAGAAAATTTAAATACTTAAGAATTTTTTTACAGCATGGGTACCCATTTGTGTTATATTTAAAAAGCAGAACATAACTATGTAGATTAAATGTTGATTATACAAAATATACATAAAGTTCAAAGATTCTGAGAGATTAGAAATTAAAAGTTTATTAGAATGGTAACATTTTCAAATTTACTTGAATGTTAAAACTAATTTATACAATTTTTATGATAAGGTGTCTGTCTGATTTATCAATAGGTTGTCCAAGAAGCCCTGGACAAAGCCAGAGAAGGCCGCACCTGCATTGTGATTGCTCACCGCCTTTCCACCATCCAGAATGCAGACTTAATAGTGGTGTTTCAGAATGGCAGAGTCAAGGAGCACGGCACACATCAGCAGCTGCTGGCACAGAAAGGCATCTATTTTTCAATGGTCAGTGTCCAGGTTGGGACACAGAACTTATGAACTTTTGCTACAGTATATTTTAAAAATAAATTCAAATTATTCTACAATTTTATCTGACTTGTTAAAGAAGTTTCTAGTTTGTCATCATAAAACATAGGTATATCTTATTCTAGATCAATTTAGAAGATCCAATTTGGGGTTTATTATGGCATTTGAAATTTGAGAGTTAGAAGTGACACCTGTCTTGAAGTATTAAAACAACAGGCTGGCTCTCCCTAAGTTATTAGAAACATCCAGAAAAAGAACAAAATTCAAGATAAGTACAGGTGTAGAAATATAGAAGCCACAGACATAGGGAAATGGTCTTATGGTCCTGAATGGGTTGGGTAGACAGGATAGTTTGGGAATAATTTTCCCAAGTACAAAAGAAAAATAAATTGTTCAATAGCCTCATCTCTCTTGGTAATTTTCTAAATAATTCTATTATGGAATCAAAGTTTTTTAAATGAATGAATTTCCAGCTTTATCATCGAAGACCAAGAGAAAATGAAATTGCCCCTATCTAGCTAACTCTGAAAGCACATATCAGTTCCATTAAGCAAGAAAGAGCCCTATCATTAAGTATCTCTTTAAAGTTTTAAACTCGTTAATTTAAAATGTACAATTATCAATATAATTTGAAACATCAAACATCAACGATACATGCTGAGTTTCTATAGCAACTGTGTTCTCTTTTATAAATTTACTACTTTTCCCAGAAAATCCGTTTTTCCTACAAGGAAAGGTATGTTTAATGGAAAGCCAAAAATATTCTAGACAACCCTTGGAAGCTAACCACACTGAAATGTTTCCGTATTTTTCCCTTTGTTTTCTCCACAATTTTCTGCAACAAATTAGTTCTTAGTGTCATATCAGGTTGTTAAATTCAGTAAATTATCCAAAGTTCTTCTAACTGTAATAAACCATATTACCAAAGAATTTTTCAAAGGTGACCACTGTGTGAGTGGATCAAATTTCAGATTAACCAAGACAAAAGTGAGGCAAAAAGTATATTACTGCAGTGACCCAAAGTAGTATTCAACCTACTCGTCTATAATGATTCCCAAACTTGCCGGGTCAGAATCATGGGGCATCTATTCCTAAACAAAATAATAGATTCAGTAGGTCTGGGTTGAGACCCAGGAATCTGTTTTTTAAAATGCACTCTAGATGATTATTCACGTCAGGCAAGTTAGGAAAAGTGGTGAGGTGTGACTGAGAGGGGGTTTCTGTGCAGGTGATGCAGTTTCCAAAATACCCCACTCATTACACATTATAGGTTGAGTATTCTTATCTAAAATGCTTGGGATCAGAAGTGTTTCATATGTCAGAATATTTGCATTATACTCACTGGCTGAGCATCCCAAGTCCAGAAATCCTAAATGTTCCAGTGAGCATTTCCTTATGTCAGCACTCAAAATGTTTTGGATTTTGGAGAATTTCTGGTGTTCAGATTTGGGATTCTTAATCTGTATTTAAACACCAACCAAATGATTCTAAATGCCCTTGCTGTCTAGTTTACAACCCTGCACTAGAGTGAGGGAAAAGGTTCTTAGTTCAGAGCTCATCTTCCTTTTCTAGACTAACCATGAAGAAATGTATCAAATGTCACAGAAGCCAACTCTGAATGTTTTCACAGAGAAACAGTACTGGTGCTTTTCAGGACAGAGGCTGGCACAGTGTAAAGGGCTTAACTGTTAGTAATAAACCAGTCTTATCAAATTCAAAATATATGTGTTTTTTAAAAGGGATGTATAGAATCAGTACACTGAGTATGATGTAATCTTTATATATATTAAAATGTCTGGCAGATTGCTATAGTGCCCAATAATCATGCCCTCTCTGCCCACTCTTTTACAAAGTGACTTTCTCTTATCAAGAGATTACTTTTTCCCCACTCCTTAAATCTGGACTTCCCTTGTGACTTGGTTTAATCAACAAAATGCAGCCAAGTGATGGCATGTGACTTCAGGGCCTAGGCCTCAAGGGACCTTCACCTCTCAGAACACTCTCTCTACCAAGTAAGGAAGCTCAATTTTGAATACTGGATGATGAGAGACCATGTCAGGAGAGAGAGTCACAGCCACCAAATTTGCAGATAGTGGGTGAGGTGATCTTAAACTTTCCAGCCTCAGTCCTGGCTGCCTGATGATTATAGCTGTATAAATAAACACAGGCAAGACCAGCAGAAGAACTGTCTAGCTATTATCAATCAACTGACAAAGTCATGAGAAACAATAAATGAATACAACACACTAAGTTTTGGATGGTTAATTACACAGCAATATATAACCGAGGTCAAAAAGCACGAGAAAAGCAAACAGGAATGAATTATTTATTCAAACATAAAAAGCCATATAATTTTGGGAGTTTCATTTTTTGAGAGTAAAAACTACAAAATTGAACAGCGAGGAGGAAAAAGTTCTGATAATCTGATTCAACATTAGTCCTTTAAAAATCTAACAAGTTTAAATATAAGTGCTTTATTTTTATATTCACAAAACTAATTATAATACACCACAATGAATTTTGTTACAGTTTTATGTGTGTGTGATAGAGGGTATACATCTCCATCTACTACCTAATTTGTCTGTTCAAAACAGTTATTTTTCTTTTTTTTTCTTTTTTTTTTTAAGACAGGGTCTCACTCTCTTGCCCAGGATATAGCATAAGGGCACCACCATCACAGCTCACTGCAGCCACAACCTCCTGGGCTCAACTGATCCTCCTGTCTCAACCTTCAAGTAGCTTGGTCTACAGGCACACATGCACTATCATACCCCACTAGTTTTTTGATCTTGTAGAGACAGGACCTTACCCTGTTGCCCAGGCTGGTCTCAAACTCCTAGCTTCAAGCAATACACTCCCACCTCGGCCTCCCAAAGTGCTAAAATTATAGGCATGAGCCACTGCACCCAGCCCAAAAGAGTTATTTTAGATCACCATTAAAGTGTAGTGGTCTTTCCCATCAAACATAACAGGCTTGTAACCCTGTGGTGAACATAGAAGGCATTGATTTCAGGGAAATTAGCATAAAATAATGTAATTCATACCCTTTGGTAGCTAAAAACATTAAAGTGCTTGAAAGATGGACTCTACACTGATGTCCAGAGAGAAGATTTATAACCCATGTAAGTACCAACAAAAATACTTAAAAATTAGAGTAGGATTTGCATTGTTAAAATTTATAGATTTGGATTGTTGAGGCTTAAATACTGCATAGTTCTATATTCACTATGTCATAATTTGCATTGCTGCTGCATCAGAGGAGCTTAAAAATATTTCTACCTCCTATGGCAGAATAAATTTAGAGAGCATGATTCCACTAATTTCTACATTTAACAAGTTTTCTTAACTTTATGTTAAAGGAATGTTAGCAAGTCAACATTCCTTCCCATCTCATATTACCAACTCACTCCCAGCACCCAGCTTAATGATATGTTTTGGTAAGTGCTTAATAGATGATTCATCTCTAAAGATGAGTAATGTTCATCAGCTGTATCATATCATAAAACGCACAAAAAGTCAGCTGAACTAGCTTTTCGGCATCAGTCTCGGGACAGGATTTCCAGGCTGAACAGGCCACAACAAACCTGTGAAGCATAAATAATGATTAATGATTACACAAAAGGCTCCAAATAGTGATGGTGAATACAACCAGGACTTTATTTCATCTGGATATTCATACATGAAATGTGAAGTCTTGCTGACATTAGGTAAATGTAACCTGACACAACTGAAGGTAAAGCCATATCTGTAGATAATGCTAAGGAACACCTCATTCATTAGATGACGAGAGCCTAGGGACAAAGGGGAACAAATTAGCTACAGCTCTGAAGTGCTCTGAAGCTAGGTCTTACTACGTTTAAAACAGAACAAAAAACCTCCTTCCTAGAAAATCCTTCCTAAAGTGCTACTGGAATGAGTTGGAATATAAATTCATGCTACAGTTTTTAATGAAATTTAAACTGCTTTTAAAGAGTATAGTACTTGAAGAAAGTTTGAAAAAAAAACGGGAGGGAAGGATAATAGGTGAGAAAGGCTATTTCTAGAAGAGTCAAAAAGAGAAACTCTTGGGATCAAGCCAGGCCTTCTACCATCTTTCTCGAGATACTCCTAATAGGAAATCCCAGATCTGGCAAGTGAGAAAAGTGGCCCCAGGAAGCTTGAAATAAATAGGAGAGAAGCCTGACTTAGAGCTAGTCTTCCATTTTACAGAGAGAAGTTTCCATAGCAAAATATGAATTAGGCTCAAAATTAAAATGTGCAATGTAATGCTTCTGGAAAACTACGCAATTTTCACATCACTTAAAAAAAGGGTAAATTATGTCTTCAACATGTGCTTTAAATTAAAAAAAAAAGAAATAAAAATAAGAACATGCTCTGGCCCAGTATATAATTATGAAACCAATGTCTGAGTGGATTATATTTGCAGAAAGATAATACAGAAACCTTTAGGAAGTCCTGCCTTGTTTTCACCTAGTGATTCATGATCACGAATCATTCTCCAGCTACACTGGGCATGGAATTCCCAGATATTTGGCAGCATCTAAACATGTTTCTCTCCACAGATGAACCGTTCTTATTCAAGTGTCAATTTTTTAAAACAATTTCAATTATCTTTCTAAATTATAAAGAACAGCCTTTCCTACATGTACAGACAATTCACGAAAGGAACACAATGCCAAAAACAATAAAAAAAGTTTTACTTCATAGGTGAACAAGTAATTTATGTTATTTTTTGCCTATCAAATGGGTAAAGACTATTTTTTGAGAAAGACTCTCGCTCTGTTTCCCAGGCTGGAGTGCAGTGGCATGATCTCAGCTCACTGCAACCTCCATCTCCCAGTGTGAAGCAATTCTCGTGCCTCAGCTTCCCAAGTAACTTGGACTACACTTGTGTGCCACCACACCAGCGAATTTTTGTATTTTTAGTAGAGATGGGGTTTCACCGTGTTGGCCAGACTGGTCTTGAACTCCTGGCCTCAAGTGATCCACCCACCTTGGCCTCCCAAAGTGCTGGGATTACAGGCATGAGCCACCATGCCTAGCCTAAAGAATTTTTATAACAACTAGAGTTGGCAATGGTGTGATGAAATGAGAAAGGATACATTTATAACCTTATACATTATTTGTAATGATAGAAAAACAAAATAGTAGAGAAGCAGTTAGATAAATCATAGGAATCCTAAGACTGGAAATTATACAATCATCAAAATATCGCAAAGCATACTTAAAGGCACTGCAAACTGCTTGAAATAATAAGAACGAAATTCACAAAAAAGGACACAAATATTTACAGTGTAAATATACAATCTACATACATTATAGGTTGGGAGCATCATATAATTATAGTCTTATGCCATGTAATGGAAATGTAGATAACTTTGTTCTTATGTATTTTTGATATTTAACTTTTTTTTTTACAATCAGTATGTAATACATTTAAAATGCAATGGTCTTATCTTGGGGTAGAAGAGATAAAAGGAGAGGCAGGGGAGGCAGGCACACTCAGTGTAACTTTATGTAAATACATTGTAATTTCTATCTTTTTGCTTTTTCATTTCTCTGAAAATGTTTCTATATTGTACCAACCCTTGCCCCACTTGCTTTAGTTTCAATGCTCCTATCATAGAAGGGTCCAGTGCATGTCATAAAAGCCATCAAAAACAGTCTTGAATAATCAGAACGCTTCTGTGAGATTATTTAACAACAGTTCTGGCACTGCTTCTACTATGTCTTCCTCCTCGTCATTTGGCTCTGGTTCAGAAGCACTCATCTCCTTCAAGTCACCTTCTGTTAATTTCTGTGGTGTGGTGACTAATAGTGCTTGATTTTTAAAAATTTTTAATAGAGATGAAGTCTTACTATATTGCTCAGGATGGTCTCAAACTCCTGGTCTCAAGCAATCTTCCCACCTTGGCCTTCCAAACTGCTGGAAATACAGGCATGAGCCACCGAACCTGGCCCAACATCCATACCTTGAAACCCTTCACCTTCCCCCGCCTTTTTTTTTTTTGGCCATATCCACAATCTGTTACATGATTTCCTAGACTGACTCTGTCGCAAATCCTGTGAAATCATGTACATCTGGACGTAGTTTTCTCTAGCAGAAATTTATTGTTTTGGGCTTGATTGCTTTCATGACTTCTTCTATAACAACAATGGCATCTTCAGTGGTGTAATCCTTCCAGACTTTCATGATGCTCTCTTCCATTGGGGTAAAAGACAATCCTTGGTGACCATCCTTTCTATTGAGTCCTGCATGTAATGAGCCTTATAGGTCCTTATGACCCCCGATCTAGAGCCTGAATTAGAGACATGTCTGGGGGCAAGTAGACCAAAGACCTTGACACTTCGGGTGTTTAAATCATGGCGTTCTGGGTGGCCAGTGTCACTGTCCAAAATCAAAACAACTTTAAAAGGCAGTCTCTGGCCGGGCACAGTGGATCACACCTGTAATCCCAGCACTTTGGGAGGCCAAGGCGGGCGGATCACGAGGTCAGGAGATTGAGACCATCCTAACACGGTGAAACCCCGTCTCTACTAAAAATACAAAAAAATTAGCCGGGTGTGGTGGCGGGCGCCTGTAGTCTCAGCTACTCGGGAGGCTGAGGCAGGAGAATGGCGTGAACCCAGGAGGCGGAGCTTGCAGTGAGCCGAGATCGTGCCACTTCACTCCAGCCTGGGGGACAGGGCAAGACTCCGTCTCAAAACAAAAACAAAAACAAAAACAAAAACACAGTCCCTTACTGACTAGGTACTTCCTGACTTCAGTGACAAAGCATCAAAGAAACCAATCCAGAAAAAAAGGTTATCATTGTCCAGGCCTTCTTGTAAACTACCAGCTGATGTTTATCTTTTCCCTTCAAGGCTCAAAGTTAACAGCTTTACAGACAAAGGCAGTCCTGATCATAAACCCTACTGCATTTGCACAAAACAGTAGTGTTGGCCTATCCCTTTCTGCCTTAAAGCCTGATGCTTGCTTCTTGTGATGGTTAATACTGAGTGTCAACTTGATTTGATTGAAAGATGCAAAGTATTGATCCTGGGTGTGTCTGAGACAGTGTTGTCAAAGGAGATTAACATTTGAGTCAGTGGGCTGGGAAAGGCAGACCCACCCTTTGTCTGGGAGGACACCATCTAATCAGCTGCCAGCGCAGCCAGAATATAAAGCAGGCAGAAAAACGTGAAAAGACTAGACTGGCTTAGCCTCCCAGCCTACATCTTTCTCCTGTGCTAGATGCTTCCTGCCCTTGAACATTAGACTCTAACTTCTCCAGCTGTGGGACTCAGATTGGCTTCCTTGCTCCTCAGCTTGCAGCTGGCCTATTGTGGGACCTTGTGATCATGTAAGTTAATGCTTCTTATATACTTCCTATATATATCCTATTAGTTCTGTCCCTGTAGAGAACCCTGACTAATACACTTCTCTTATGAACAAATGTCCTTTGTGGCATTTTTTTTTTCCAGAATAGGGCACATTTGTCTGCATTAAAAACCTGTTCAGGCAGATATCCTTTCTCCTCAGTGATTTTCTTAATGGTGTCTGGGAACTTGTCTGCTGCCTCTACTTCTCCTGTTATCTTGATATTTTTAAAGCCAAACTTCTTTCTAAAATTATCAAACTATCCTTTGCTGGCATTAAATTCTCCAGCTTTAGATCCTTCACCTTCCTTTAAAGTTGTCATATAGTAACTTTGCTTTTTCTAGAATCATAGTAGAGTCCATAGGTATGGCTTTTTATAGCAATCCTGTACCCACAAAAAAGGTGCATTTTTAATTGGAGATCAAAAGGTATTTTGCAAAAAGGGCAAAGTTTTAATGCCTGCCGGTGTAGCTGCAGCAACAGCTTCACAAATTTTTTTTTTTTAATGGTACTCATACTAGATTTATTTATGTTGAAATGATGGGCAAATGCAGCTACAGATCTCAATCTATCATACTTATCAAGCAATCAACTCTTTATTGTAATATCATGACTTTTCTCTGCTTCTTGGGAGCACTTCCAGTATTACTAGAAGCACTACATATGGGTCCCATGGTATTATTCAATGTTTATAATACTGTACTACCCACAATGAAAAATACATGAGAATAGAACCACGAAAGATCACTTTTTGTGATCCACTAAAGTGACAAACTGCTTATGCAGAGATGACTAGCATTATATAACATCTTAAGGAGATACTTGCAACTAATCTTTAGCTTACCACAATAGCAACATGAGGTGACTACAAAATTATTATAGTAGTACAGTACGTACCACAATTAATTTTATGCAATTATGACTGAAAACTGCATCTTTACATTTGTTTACATTTCTCTCGACTCCAAATGGCCCCACATAAAGTCTGTAAGGGCTTATGTTCATACATTTTGAAAAATTTTAACTTTTTATAGTAGATTTGTATATATTTTATGGTAGTAAATAATGAAATAGATGAGTATCTTTATATATTTTATGCATTCATGAATACTTTAGTTTTTGGATATTTCTAAGCTACACAGTTTTGAGTTTTTTTCAAATTATCTCAATCTCTAAAAAATTTTCTCATTTTTTAAAATCTGCATATAAGTGTATCCATGCAGTTCAAACCCATGTTGTTCGAGGGTCAATTGTATGAGAAACTGAAATAATGTCATGCATATTACCATTCCAATTTTTCACATTCTATCTGCAGTGCCTCCAAGCCTTCCCTCTTCTTATTCACATAGTGCTAAACATAGCCACATAATTTTTACGAAACCAACTATGCTTTGAAAGGTCCCCTGTAAAGAGACTGCCAGACTATAAATAAGAACCTTACAAGCCTTGCTATCACTTTCATTTTATTTTGTTTTCCACCACTCTTTTTTATACTGGGTTTTGATCTTTTCGTTCTCATTCTTTCCATAAACATAAGTCAGACTCCACACAGCCCAAATGAACTGCATCTGAATTGGTAAAACATGTTTTAAAAAGTATAATTTACCCAATCTCTTTTCTCTATCTCATTAATATTGTCTATGACTACATGAACCACCATATATTTAAACATTTTATCTGAGCTTACTATAAAATACCTTGTACAAACCAAATATGTTCACGGGTATACTGATTTTGAGGATGATGATATGATTGCTGAATCGACCTGAAACAGTGTTCTGCATAAAAACACCTAAGGGACTGATCTGACAAGTGTCTCAAAAGCAGGACAGAGAAACATGAATATGCATTAAATGCCTAAGTGGAAAAAACAAATACTTATGTAGCAAGTGACAGATGGCAATATAAGAATCACCGTGTAGGAAAGGCATTTAAATAACAAAAGTAATACCTTTCTTACTCTACAGCACTGTACAAATAAAAAAGAGAAGCCTCACCTGTCATCTCTGATGTGGTAGAAAAATCCATAACCATTGTGTACCATGGGAACTACCACTCCCTGGACTCGTAAATAGCCAACCAGACTTGTTGAGAGAACAAAATTTCCACCTCCTCCGCTGTGTGGCACAATAAAAGGACATTTTACTAGGCCTACAGATGCTTATATTGTTTCCAAAAAGCATTTAACATATAAAAAAATTGATGAAGTTGTTAAATACTACACTATATTACCTTTTGGAAAAAAGTGGGTCCGTAAAGAGTTCTGGAACAGGAAGACCTTCCTCTTTCGCTATGAGTAAGAGACCTAAAAGGTGACGATCAAATCCTGCAATGAAATCCCAAATCTAAAGTTAGAAAAAAATTTTTCACCATGAGAGATTTTTAAGTCAGAAAAATTTTAACATAAGTACCTTTTCCAGCTGAACAATCTTTCATCATTTTATTATGCTTTGCAAAAGCTTGTAACATCTTTTGCTGCCGCTCATGAGGCTGTATTAAAAATTGAGAGACACTTCAATAACACGCTGTGCAAAACCCAACTAGAAAAAAATCCTAAGCTCATTGTAATTAGGATTTGGGTAATTTGGCAGAGGAAAGAAGATTTCTAGGAAGATCTATAATACATACTGCTATATCTTTCCCTCAGTTATTCTATCGCCTATTCTTCCCTGTATGTCCTGCTTCTTATTTCTTTCCTGGAATAGGAAACTATGAACTTGTGGGCAGCACTGAAGTGACATTAACAAGTATAAAGATAGAAGCAAGATTTCAAAAATGAAAGCATAACTAAACAAATGACAATAAAACAGTTCTATAAAATTAAGATACAGGCACTCATATATAACCACATCTAGCAAAACTAAAGAAACAAATATAATACTAAAATAACAGTGAGAAGGAAATTTGCTGTTGTCTAAATGCTTCAAAAAAAAGAGTATGAAACAAAGCATACAACTGTCCTGGTTCCAGTATATGAAACAAGAATCTGTGATTTCAAAAACATTCAACCATATCAAGAAAACCTTCCTTTTTAATGGCACCTTGGAACTTCTGCACTTTATTAGTGTTGTTCTAAAGGTAAATAAGAAGTCCTGAAATACCTAAAGTACTGAAGACCCCTTGCCTAGAAATTAACACAAATGGGGTCCTTTTCCCGCCTTCCCTGTTTCTTAGTCTTTCCAAGAAGTACACACTTAACTGGTGAATGAACAAATGCTTTAAAAACCTCAAAAAGATGTCTCAAAGTATTTTAATGATCCAGGAAAACTGAAGCAAAGAAATTAGTTACTCAAAGACCACAGTTCCTTTAGAACAATTAAACAAATCTTGTGCGTTTTTTCTTTTCCAATACTCACACTGACAGAAGGATCCTGCATGGACTGGCACCACCTGACTGCTTCAACTGTGCATGACCGCATAGTCTCTGTACGGCCATGATAAAAATATCTTGTCATAGCTGTTTCATAGCAACAACCAGGGCTACAAGAAAAAATTAAAAGAGTGTATCATAAGAAATAAAATGTTCTAATATCATTACAGATATAGTTGCCTAATAAAGCTAGCTTTGTTCAGAGAGTAAGCCCTTTAACACAGATAGGTTGGAGATTTTCAATAAAAAAGAGGCTATTTTCAATACCAAAGAGCAAAAAATACTCTGATAATGTGGACTGTTTCAAAGGTATGGCTGCTGTCAGGTATACACTACAGCCTCTAAGATGGCCCCCGTCATTCCTGCCTCCTGCTATTTACGCTCTGCTGTAACCCCTCACTTTTGAGCGCAGGCTAGACAGTGACTTGCATCTAATGGAAAGAGTACAGCACAAGAGATGGGACATCACATCTGAAATTAGGTTACAAAGAGAGCTCTCTCTTGTTCTCTTATTTCTCATCTGAAGAAAGTCAGCTGCCATGCTGAGGCTGCCCGATGGAGAGCCCTAGTGACAGAAAACTGAGGACGGCCCTCTGGACAACAGCTAGGGAGGAACCAAATCCTATTAGTTCCCGTGGGTGAGGTGAGAAGTGGACCTACCCTCAGGAGAGCAGATGACAACAGCCTTGGCTGATACTGACTACAACCTCATGAAAAACCTTAATTAAGTCAGAGGTACTCAACTAAGCTGTATCACAAAAAAATGACCCACAACATTGTGATATAAAATTACTGATCCATAAAATACGTGATATAAAAAATGTATGTGTTTTAAGCCACTACATTTTGGGGTAATTTATTATACAGAAATAGGTAATACAGAGTCCTTGACCTTTAGTGCCTCCATATAGAACACGAATGACTAGAATAAAGTAGAAGTATAATTTAAGAAGTTCCCCAAAGTGATACCTGTTTTCCTGGGTTGGAGAATGATATAGCAATTTTAGGTATAAAACTCTCTTACTTTCTTGTTGGTTAGAATTTGGAGTCAAAGAGATCAAATAAAGTGAGAGTGAAAAGTCTCTGATGTGGGTACTAAGAGGACTCAAACAGTTTTCAAGCCTCTTCTGTTCAGTGTTTCTGTCTCTGGAGTGAAATGGTATCTCTTCAAAGTGTGAAGGAGAAAGTGTGAATAATATTTTTAAATAGCACTGAAATAACATTCTTTCAGGAAAACAAATTAAAAATAAAAGCAGTAAAAATGAGTAACAAAATATTACCACTGTAACCTCAAATGAAATAATGCACCTTAGCAATGATCTTCAATGACTATTAAAATGTTAGGTAAAAATATTCAGGGAGCAAACTTTTTATAATAGATGCTGGCTGACAAGTAAACACACCTCAATCTTAAACTATGGAGTAGAAAACAAAGAGCATTAACTATTTATTATTGTAAAACATAACCAAAATAAGAAGTGATGCTTATTATCAATCCTCTAGCTCTAACTACCAGTTTATAAGACATACAGGAGACTGAGCAACATGTTAAATATCAACATGGGACTACAATCAGGAAAATTCAGAAAACTCTACAGGATAAATGACCCAGTTTCTTCATCAAATCAAATACAATAAGAGAAAGGTAGGGAAAAGATTCCCATATTTAAAAAGGACTTAAGAGGCGTATCAATCAAATGCAATGTGTAAAATTTATTTGGAACCTCATTTGAACATATCTTCTGTATAAAAAAAATACTATGTGAAATTTCCAATGCCAGCTATGATGAGCTAGTTTGTAGCAAGGCAGTCTTAATGCTAGGAACAAAAACAAAAACTGGACTTAAAAAACATCTATTTGAAGGCTTTGCAGAATTTTTTTTTATTATACTTTTAAGTTCTGGGATACATGTGCAGAATGTGCAGGTTCATTACATAGGTATACATGTGCCATGGTGGTTTGCTGCACCCATCAACCCATCATCTACATAAGGCATTTCTCCTAATGCCATCCCTCCCCATGACAGCCCCCAGTGTGTGATGTTCTCCTTCCTGTGTCCATGTATTCTCACTGTTCAACTCCCACTTATGAGTGAGAACATGCGGTGTTTGGTTTTCTGTTCTTGTGTTAGTTTGTTAAGAATGATGGTTTCCAGCTTCATCCATGTCCCTGCAAAGGACATGAACTCATCCTCTTTTATGCTGCATAGTATTCCATGGTGTATATGCACCACATTTTCTTTATCTAGTCTATCATTGATGGGCACTTGAGTTGGTTCCAAGTCTTTGCTATTGTGAAAAGTGCTGCAATATACATATGTGTGCATGTATCTTTATAGTAGAATGATCTATAATCCTTTGGGTATATACTGGGATTGCTGGATCAAATGGTATTTCTGGTTCCAGATCCTTGAGGAATCGCCACACTGTCTTCCACAACGGTTGAACTAATTTACGCTCCCACCAACAGTGTAAAACTATTCCTATTTCTCCACATGCTCTCCAGCATCTGTTGTTTCCTGACTTTTTAATGATCACCATTCTAACTGGCATGAGATGGTATCTCATTGTGATTTTGATTTGCATTTCTCTAATGACCAATGATGATCAGCTTTTTTTCATGTTTGTTGGCTACATAAATGTCTTCTTTCGAGAAGTGTCTGTTCCTATCTTTCACCCACTTTTTGGTACGGTTGTTTTTTTCTTGTAAATTTATTTAAGTTCCCTGTAGATTCTGGATATTAGCCCTTTGTCAGGTGGTTAGATTGCAAAATTTTTCTCCCATTCTGTAGGTTGCCTGTTCACTCTGATGGTAGTTTCATTTGTTGTGCAGAAGCTCTTTAGTTTAATTAGACCCCATTTGTCAATTTTGGCCTTTGTTGCCATTGATTTTGGTGTTCTAGTCATGAAGTCTTTGCCCATGCCTATGTCCTGAATGGTATTGCCTAGGTTTTCTTATAGAGTTTTTATGGGTTTAGGTCTTACATTTAAGTCTTTAATCCATCTTGAGTTAATTTTTGTATAAGGTGTAAGGAAGGGGTCCAGTTTCAGTTTTCTGCAATGGATAGCCAGTTTTCCCAACACCATTTATTAAATAGGAAATTCTTTCCCCATTGCTTGTTTTTCTCAGGTTTGTTACAGATCAGATGGTTGTAGATGTGTGGCATTATTTCTGAGGCCTCTATTCTGTTGCATTGGTCTATATATCAGTGTCAGTACCAGTACCATGCTGTTTGGTTACTGTAGCCTTGTAGTATAGTTTGAAGTCAGGCAGCATGATGCCTCCAGCTTTTTTCTTTTTGCTTAGGATTGTTTTGGCTATACAGGCTCTCTTTTGGTTCCATATGAAATTTAAAGTAGTTTTTATTTTAATTCTGTGAAGAAAGTCAGTGGTAGATTGATGGAGATAGCATTGAATCTATAAATTAATTTGGGCAACTGTTAAAGCAGCCAGAATATGAGGGCCAAGATCTGGAGAGAAGAGCAGCTCTTTGAAGTGAGGTACCTTGGAGTCTCGGCTCCAGGCCTGCTTGTCTGTGTAGTCTTGGAGGAAGTCCCATCTGTTTAGGGACCTGGAAGGTATCACACCTACCTGCTCCCCAGGAATAGACCCACCAAAACTGTGCATTTGACTGTGGACACAGAAGCAGCCCTTTAACTCAGCTCCAGTCCTACTCAATGGTAGTCCTAGAGACAGTCCCATCTGTCCAGGGACCAGGCAGGAGCCATGCCAACCTGTGTTCTCATAACAGCCTGCTGACTATCTAATACATAAGCAGTCCCATGACCTGGCTGCAGCCCCACTCAACTGTAGCTCTGGAGACAGTCCTGTCCACCCAGGGACCAGGCAGGAGAAAGTCCTTACCTGCTGAAACAAGTCCATAAAAACTGGAAGTGACTTATTTAAATGCATAGACATCAACACAGGACTACAAGGATAGGCAAGCCTGACTCCACTAAAGAAAACTAATAAAGAAATCAAAATGGCATACTAAAAAATTCAATAAAAAGAGTAGTAATAGAGTAATTAAGGAACAAAAACAATATAAGACCTAAAGTTATATGTTTTATTATCAGTTATATGTTTTATTATCTTATCAGTAATTATTTCAAATTTAAATAATTTCAAATGTAACTCTCCAATCAAAGAGATTGGTAGACTGGACTGAAAAAGCCTGAAAAAACATGATCCATCTACAGGCATACCTCACAGATATGGCAAGCTCAGTTCCAGATCATCGCAGTAAAGTGAATATTGCAATAAAAAGAGTAACACAAATTTTGTGGTTTCCCAGTATATACAAAAGTTGTATTTACATGATACTGTAGTCTATCAAGTGTAAAATTCAATATGTGTAAAAGCCTATTGGTTCTGCTTTTCTGAAGAACTCCAATACAGATCCTTACCTTACACCATATACAAAAATTAACTCAAAAATGGGTCAAAGACCTAAAGTAATAGCTAAAATTATAAAAATATTAGAGGAAAACACAGGGAAAAGACTTCATGACACTGAATTTGGCAATGATTTCCTGTGTATGACACCAAAAGCACAAGCAACAATAGAAAAAAATAGATGAACTTCATAAAAACTTAAAACTTTGTACATCAAAGGATACTATTATGACAGCAAAAAAAGACAACCACCTACAAGGAGGAGCTGGTACCATTCCTTCTGAAACTATTCCAATCAATAGAAAAAGAGGGAATCCTCCCTAACTCATTTTATGAGGCCAACATCATCGCTGATACCAAGCCTGGGCAGAGACACAACAAAAAAAGAGAATTTTAGACCACTATCCCTGATGACACCATGATGCAAAATCCGTCAATAAAATACTGGCAAACCAAATCCGCAGCATATCAAAAGCTTATCCACCACGATCAAGGGGCTTCATCCCTGGGAGCAAGGCCTGGTTCCCACATCTCCAAATCACTAAACTAATCCAGCTATTAAACAGAACCAAGAGACAGAAAAACCACAGTGACTTCATCTCAATAGATGCAGAAAGGCTTTCTTTGCACCAG